CCTCTACACAGAGACAGGTTTGGGCGGTAAAAACTTCAAATCAGATGGAGAAACCGAGATACATCGTATTAGCGTTTTCATCTGATCGAATTAATAAAATTGAAAAGGATGCTAGCCAATTCGATCATTGTAATATCAGTAACGTAAAACTATATTTAAATTCTAAATCGTACCCTTATGACGATTTGAATGTGGATTTCGATAAAAATCGATTCGCGATACTATATCACATGTATAATAATTTTCAAAATTCTTACTATCCTGGAAGATATCCTTCAGAGCCACTCCTTTCCCTAAAAAACTTTAAAGAAAAAGCACCGGTTATCGTAATCGATTGTTCTAAACAATCGGAATCTATCAAGTCCGGACCGGTCGATGTGAGGTTAGAATTCGATTCTTCCAAACCTTTTCCGCCTGAAACAACTGCTTTCTGCCTCATCATACACGATAACGTTGTAGAGTACAACCCTTTAACGAGTATTATAAGAAAAAGGGTATAAGTAATAATAAAGGGATTCATTGTAATTTATTCTCAGTTTTCATCATGTCATCAAACGGTGCGGTTGTGGAACTTCAATGCTTCGTAGATGATGCAAATAATTATATAGTTAAAGAATTATCGATTTTCGATTTAAAACATAATGCAGCCAGCAATTGGATTTTCAAACCACCTTCTCATCCGGTTGTTACCAGTGCTAAAAGCATGAAAACGAACCGCTGGCTTTCGAAAAATTATCATTTACTAAGTTGGGATGAAGGAGATGTTCCCTATCACAATTTATCATCGATTTTTCATAATATCGATTTAAATTATAAATATATTTTTGTAAAAGGACAGCAAAAAAAAGAATTTTTGTTACAATTTTTGCACTCGTGTGAAATTATCAATCTTGAGGAATATAAATGTCCTCGAATTGATAATATGCAAAGTATACAAATAGCCCCATGTATTACTCATAGAGACTTGAAATTAATGTGTTCATATTATCGTTCGCATATACTAGCAGAGTGGGTATATTCGAATTACGATTTGATTTTCAAATTTTTATAACTTTTGTTTAGTTTTTCTATAATTTAATAATAAAAAAAATATATATATATATAAAAATATAAAAAAAAAAAATGTTTCAATTTGTTATTTATTCTATGTTAATTTGATTTCTTATTTTCAACAGATTTTTTTTTTGTTTTTGCATTTTGGTCACTGGCACGGTATTGATTTACCTGTAAACCAAAAGTATGTGTGTGTGTGTTTGATTTGGTCACTGGCGAGGTATTGATTTACTCGTAAACCAAAAGTATGTATAATTTGGTCACTGGCGAGGTATTGATTTACCCGTAAACCAATGTGTGCATGTATGTGTATGTGTTTGATTTGGTCACTGGCGAGGTATTGATTTACCCGTAAACCAATGTATGTGTGTTTGAAAATATGTAAAAACAAAAAAAAAAAAAAACCTCCTCGAAATACCCCCACCTTGACGTGGTGAGGAGGCTTATGTCAAAACATGTTTTTTGACGAACCAAGAGGGGTATGAAACAAATTATATCAACCTTAGGGTCACGTGACGAGAATCCTCGAATCTGATTGGCTGATGGTTTCCCCCACCATTCATTTTGGATACGGACATGTGTAAGCATGAGTTATTCTTGTATAGACTTGTTTTACTGAGCAAAGGGAGGTTACACAGAGCTCCTCTTCAGTCATTGTGTAGTCGAAGCTCAAGCAGTTAACATGGCTAGTCTCGCTACTCTCCTCAACGACGTCAATCGAAAAGGTGAAGGTATAGGACGGATATCAGACATGAAGGTAGATTTCACTTATGAAGTCGTGAAATTTAAAAGAATCATCACGATATATGGTGTTGCTGTTATTGCACAACTGAAATATCACGGTCCTACCGACATTTATGATATTCATCCACACTGTGTTTTCATGCCTAAAAGATTTACAGAAGTCTTAACTGACGAAAAGTTAAACGAATACAATTACTGTGAAAAAAGAATAAACATAATTTACAGAGGACTAATCAATGGTAGATATGAAGTGGATTTCATATAATTTTTTTTCTTTTGTTGGAATAAATTTTCTGTTTTGAAGAAGTTAGTTAATTTCTATTTTATTTAATTTTTTTTGTTTTTGCATTTTGGTCACTGGCGTAGTATTGATTTACTCGTAAACCAATGTGTGCATGTATGTGTATGTGTTTGATTTGGTCACTGGCGAGGTATTGATTTACCCGTAAACCAATGTATGTGTGTTTGAAAATATGTAAAAACAAAAAAAAAAAAACCTCCTCGAAATACCCCCACCTTGACGTGGTGAGGAGGCTTATGTCAAAACATGTTTTTTGACAAACCAAGAGGGGTATGAAAAAAAAAATATATCAACCTAGGGTCACGTGACGAGAATCCTCGAATCTGATTGGCTGATGGTTTCCCCCACCACTCTCTTCCGACCCTACCGCTTCCTTCGCAGTGGACCTTGTCCCCCTACATGCCTATGCATGTTCAAACGTGAAGAGACTTGTCGCCTAACGCAGCTGTACTCTCCACGGCCTTCTATATAACATATGTTATGAAAATAATATTACGTATATTAACTTTATGATTTATTTTTTTTTTCGATATTAGAGTCTACTATTAGGTTATTATATTTGTAAAATTCGAAAATGATATTAGTTTTAAGATTAATTTAATAAAACTTTATTTGATATTGAAGTATAAGATTATTCGAAGTGCCAGATACTCTCCACGGCCTTCTATATAACATATGTTATGAAAATAATATTACGTATATTAACTTTATGATTTATTTTTTTTTCGATATTAGAGTCTACTATTAGGTTATTATATTTGTAAAATTCGAAAATGATATTAGTTTTAAGATTGATTTAATAAAACTTTCTTTGATATTGGAATATAAGATTATTCGAAGTGCCAGATACTCTCCACGGCCTTCCATATAACATATGTTATAAAAATAATATTACGTATATTAATTTTATGATTTATTATTTTTCGATATTAGAGTGTACTATTAGATTATTATAGGTGTAGTATTAGAAAATGATACTAGTTTTAAGATCGATTAATCGAATTTCGATTTATTACAATATTCGTGATATTGGAGATGTATATTCTTAGATTATTAAATACGTTTTGATATTTATGAAAAAAAAAAAAAAAACAATATATAAAAGTTGATGAGAAGAAGAGGGAGGGGGGAGAGGAGGGCTGATGACGTTGTTGTTAATTTTATGATATATTATCGTAAAATTATTAGAATATATGTATATATTTCATTGTTATAATTTATATTCCTTTTGTAATAATATATATTTTATTCGTTACTATTTATGTTTATATTCATTTTGTAATAATATATGTGTATATTTCATCGTTGTCATATATGTATATATTCCTTTGTAATAATATATGTGTATATTTCATCGTTGTCATATATGTATATATTCCTTTGTAATAATATATGTGTATATTTCATTGTTATAATTTATATTCGTTTGCAATAATATATATTTATGTCGTTACACTTTATATTTATATTCCTTTGTAATAATATATGTGTATATTTCATTGTTATAATTTATATTCGTTTGCAATAATATATATTTATGTCGTTACACTTTATATTTACTTGAGGTATACAAGATGGGACCAGTTGAGACATGATATCGTAGAATGTCACAATATATGTCTATATTTATGTCGTTACACTTTATATTTACTTGAGGTAGACAAGATGAGACCAGTTGAGACAGGTCCGGACCTGTCGAACTTAAAAATGAAAAAATACAAATTAGGATTAAGGATTAGGATTAAGGATTAGCATTAGAGATTAAGATCAATCAAAATAAATTATATTGGTCACGTGGTGTACAGGTGGTTAAGGTAAGAATAGCCCAGGGTCCAAAGTCCAAAAGTGCTCCCCAAATTCTGGGACCAGAACCGCCATTTATACCCTACTGATATATATTAATTTTCTGTCTCAGTTTCAGTTTTCAAAATTTGGAAAAATGTGTTTAGGTTAGTTTGAGTATTTTGTTTGTGATTTTCTGTTTCATTTTAAAGTCATGTCATCCTTCTGTTGAGGATAAGTTCAAGACACTGTGGTCGTCAGGAGAATTCAGTTGTAATCCGTTCAGAAATAACAAATTGTAAATATAGGATTTTAAGACTTCTGGAACCTCTACAGCTCTTCCAAATTGAGTAAGAAGGATCAAAATCTATATGTTACTTGATTTTTTTTAATTAGAAGGTCTAAAATAATTATTCTCGAAAGAATATTAATAATTAAAGTAAAAAAAATACATATTTTTTTGTGGGTTTTTTTCCTTCTTTGGTTTTTAGGCTATAATTAGGGTATTTTGATGGTAGAGGATTAATGCCAGAGTTAAAAGCGATATGGAAACGAGTGATGGAGACTCACACTCAATGAAGAGGTGCGATTGAACAGGTGGGAAAGAAAAATCTTTCCTAGAATTTAGGGCCCAACCAAAGAAGGAAAATTTTGGCGTATGAAGACAAATGACGAGCTGAAGAAGGTATATATTGCTCCAGACATTATATCCACCATAAAGAGGGGAAGGATAAGAAATGCAAAGAATGGAACATGTTAGGCTACCTAAAATGATGATGGAGGAACATCCGGGTGGAAGAAGGAAAAGAGGCAGGCCTAGACTTCGTCGTCTGGAGGACGTTGAAGATCTAAGGAGCCTGCGTGTGGTGAAGGCCAAGGTTCTAATATAATATGCGTTATATAATCATTTTCCAATATACTTTCCTGTAAAAATGACTCGAAGAAAAAATACGAAACTAAACTATCCATTTTTTGTTTTTTTGTATGCTTTATGATTTGAATTTTTTTTTTTGGGGCCTAAAACAACATTAAGAATAGGAATGAAAATTTGAGTAATTTAAGCTATAAATGATTGTTTATTGATTTACCAAAGATAATGAATACATAAATAAATTTTGATGGATGGTATTTTCGGAATGAGGGAGAGAATTTTAAGGTCGAAGGATTTAGTGGTGATATGGAGTCTCGACGTGATGTATCACTGGAACATGGTGCACTTCTGGAACATGGTGGTCTACTGGATCTGACATGACTTTGATCTCGACTATGACAGAATCCTTGACGTAGTTGACCTGTTTCTGGGAGGAGTACGCCTGTTCGTGGGACTCGTGGTCGCCGTAGGAGGCGAAAGCCATAGCTACCAGAGCGGACAGGATCACCTGCGTATATATATATTATATTATACATATTATATATTATACTATATATGTTATAATTATATCATTCTTTATATAAATTTAATGTATCAAACGAAACTTACGAGTTTGTACATGTTAAATGTGTTGACAGTTGAATGTGTCTAGGACTAGGCTCACGTTCGATATATATACAGATCCTAAGTCAACCTTCACCTAGTACGGGTATCTGACATTTAAACGATATAACATGTTTACACGATGTTTCTTTTATATTTTTAATATTATATCAAAATATTATATATATCAGGTATTTGATTTTACTTTCACCTGAACATTTATGAAAAATATAATAAGGGAAAGTATTGGAATCCTGAATAATTTTGAATCGTAGTTGTCAACGGATATATTGAGCGGATCCAGAAGTTGGTTCGGTTTTTATTAGTAGAACAAATTATTTTAAAATATCTCCAGTTCTCTTGGATTTATCTGACAATAATGATACTTATCGAATAAGTTAAAGTCCGCTCTTCGAAAAGTTTTTTGTTTATGCTACAGCGTAACGAATATGTAAAATGATAAAGTGCATTTTCGGCATTTTTATTCCAAAAAAGGCAAACAAGCTTCGGAGGTCCAGCGAAAAATATGTAAGTTATACGTGGACGATGCCTTAACAGAACTTACTGCTTAAAAAATGTCCAAATTTCACTTGTCCACCGAGGTTGATTCAAGGCTTTAATCGAACAACACTAGTCACTATAGGTACGAGAAATAGCCGAGACACTGAAAATAGGTTTGGGAACCGTTTAAAGACATTTAAATAGTTTAGGTACGTGTCCTGCCTCGATGTTTGTGGTCACACAAACTTACTGAGACAAAGCTAGTCAACCGAATATCAAGCTACAACTATATTCTGAACCGGCATAAAACGGATCTATTCTCTGAATAATAACGGGTGGATCATTAACTACAATGTAGTGCGCAGGAAATCGTGGACAACCACTGACTGACGCCCGAAAGCAGGAAAAGATTTCGCTCTCCATGTGGTGGGATTATTACAGCTGTTTTACCTGTTGTCTCCACAAGGAAAAAAGGTTTGATTCTAAGATCTACCGCACGCAGCTAATGAAATTGGAGCAAGAGCATTGCGAAATATACGTCCAGAACTAGTCAATCACAAAGGTGTTGTATTCTATCATGACAACGCCAGACCACACTCCGCGATAATCACACAGTAAAAGTTATTGCAACTTGAATGTTTTATTACACCTACCGTATTCACCATACCTTGCACCGCCCGACTATCACTTATTTTGGTCTTTCCAAAAATCCGTCCACGAGAAATCATTCACTGTGAAGAATGAATGAATGAATGAAAGAATTTTTTATTGAGTATTTATACAATAACCAACAATAAAAGTATCCAAGCTCAATAATACCCCCTCCAAGCCTTGGTCAAACAAGTATTATTGATACAATAATATAAACTAAAATCTACTATGTTAATGTTAATAAATACAGTGTTAATGCTAACAAATACAGAAATACAATGTATCCGCTCATAATATCACAAATATAATTACACATATATAAATACATACACGTTTTTAATATAGATATCTTAATATAATTACATAAATAATTTTTCCGGCTTAAACATTATTCATCTAATAATTAAATTCTTGGTATAAGTCATATCTGTATTGCCAGGTTCCTTTACAATAATTGGATAGACTTACCCAATTTTTTCCGTCTAAATGTACAATTATCTCCCCAAATGTCAGGCTATCTTTTCGAAAATATTTTCTCCTAAATTCTGTCAGAACAGGAAATAGACCAAGGAAATGCACGATATTTTCTATTTCATTCCTGTTGCATAATGAACATAATTTATTACTTGTTTCATAATACACCCTACAGTTTAATCTCTGTGGAGAGGGATATAAAAACATTGGTAAAATATTTTTACTTTAATGAAATTTACAAATTAAATTTGCCATTGGTAACATGACATGTACAACATGAAGAGAAACTACCCATTGGTAGAACTCAAATTGATGTCCTTTATCTTTTTTTCTGAGGTCTCGGAGGGTTATCAGGAATAGAAGAGGAAGAAAGGTTGGAAACAAGAGAGTTCGGATGGTTCAGAAGTTTATTATGGAAGGACATGTATATGGAATGAGCCAAATCGGAAACATATGGTACATTAAGGTCGTTATGGATGATTTTATTTTTGGCGAAGTAAGGTGCATTAAGAATTTTGGATTGTAAGGATTGGATACGAGAGGAATTTGAGTAGAGCCCCAAAGCTCGATTCTGTAAGTCTAAATAGGCCTTATTATAGTCATATATATGAGTATTTTGTAAGTAATTCAAAGTTTAGAGCGTTGGTAAAATATTAATTAAAAAATAAACTAAATCATCCAAGTTGTTCAACAATTTAAAATGGAACTCTGGGATTTTAACCTTTGTCTGCCTGATCAACTATTTGATTTTATAATCTTCCTCAGCTTTGTAATTTCTATTATTTTCTTTTGTTATGTTATCAATAATTTCTTCTTGTTATATATACTTTTGTGGCATGGTAATTAAACTTGTTATCATCTGTTCTTTATTGGTGATCAGCTGTTAGCTTATCATCTTTCTTATCTTAGTAATCTCATCTTTCTTTGAGTACATATATGTGTTGGAATATAATCGAATCGTCTTTCTTCTCAAGGATGAAACCTAAATTTGCGAAACGTTGATGGGTTAGTTTGTTTGTACCTGCATTTTGGAAACAGGAGACTATATAATAATAATGATGCTTTATTTATTCTGGGACGAGTCTCGTTAGAATAAAACAGAAAGACAGAAATGTGGACTAAGGAGGTTCAGAGATACATAAACAAAAATACAGAGTAATTAAATAGTCATAATAAAAGAAATTATAAGTTACTTTCTAACTTAAATCAGTTAATAAAAAAAAAAAGAAAATAAACATGAATTAAAAATTATGAAGAACGATGTAATAATTTATATTCATATTTACATTAGTATCTATTTAAAATTTTATGGGGAGTGGAGGGATAAGAAATGATTGAACAGGCGGGATTTAAAGGTAGGAAGGGTATTGCATTGACGGATGAGGGAATGTGATGAGAGTTCCATAGGGATGAGGATCGGATAATAAACGATCTGTAGAAAGTAGCGGTTCGGTAGACTATTGTGTATAAATCAGAAGATCGGGAACGAGTATTGTGGGAACGAACAGAGGATTTGAATTGAAGGAACTCAGAGATGTATGATGGGCGGTGGGATTGGATGAATCGAAAGAGGAAGGATGCCAGGAAGTACGACGGTAGGAAGGATAAAGCCACTTCAACTCTGCATAAAAACTAGAAATATCCTCAGAGACGCTCAATATACCGTACAGCAATAGTCAAAGTAGGTAAAAATTAAGGAAACGATTAGGACCCTACTTATATAATTATTTTTTTCTGATAATAACATAATCCATTTTAATATATGTATTCCGGAAGTACAAAATATTATTTTTAAAAAAAAAAAATTTAATTACTAAGTAATGAATTTTAATAGGTCGATAATAAGAAAAATTGGTTTTACGAACAAATACAAAAATGTGACATAGTGTTGTATACCTCGGGTAAGATTAAAAGATTATAATTTGTAAGAAAAAAATAAAATAAACTAATCCTAATAATAGAAAAATGAGACAGATAGTTTAGAATTTCCAACAATTTTAAAGGGAATAGTGCAATGCATATAGGGTCATGTGATAGTGAAAAAATATAGGGAAATGCGAAAAATTCTTTTTTTATTTTTTTTTTATTGTAATTTTGTAAATGAGGTCATAACATAAATATTACATAGACTATATTTCAATATACAACTTATATTTTTAGACATCTTGTCAATGTCGGTTACCCCCACTTAGTGAAGGTTGATTTAGGATCTGTATATATATCGAGCGCGACGGAAGCCTAGACACATTCAACTGTCACTAACACATTACAACATGTACAAGCTCGTGAGTGTTATTTAGTCTTCAATTAAATATTTATAACGTCTAATACAGTTTTATATTATATTATATTATATATATATATATATATATATATATATATATATATATATATATATATATATATATATATATATATATATATATATATATATATATATATAATATATAATATATTATATAATGTATTTCCAGGTGATCCTCTCCGCTCTCGTAGCCGTGGCTTGCGCCGCCTCCTATGGTTACCACGAGTCCCATGAACACGCATACTCGACCCAGAACCAAGTCAACTACGTCGAGCATTCTGTTCCAGTCGAGATCAAAGTCAAGTCAGCTCCAGCAGTCCACCATGTTCCAGTCGTCCACCATGTTCCAGTAGTACATCATGTTCCAGTGGTACACCACGTCGAGACCCCTTCATATCACCACTAAATTACTGCCCTTGACTTTAAACACCTGTCATCATTTCTCCGAAATCATCCATAAAATTTATTTATGTATTTATTATCTGTGGCAAATCAATAAATAAATATTTATACCTTAAATTATTTACATTTTCCTTCCTATAATTGAGTAAATTATTTTTAGTAAGAACATAATAAATCAAAAGGTTTATGGTTTGGTCAAGTAAAAATTTAAATAAATTTGAGAAATAGTACTCTACCATTAAAGTCATATTATTCACTTTTTTTCTCAAGAAAAATTTTAATTGTTTTGTTGCCTCTACCATGTAGGGTCATTGATAATACATTTTATCAGTGACAAAAAAATTAGCATTACTTCAGTAACAAAATCAAAAATTAAAACAAAGGATACAACCTTTACAGTACAAAATATAAAAAAACATCTAGAGACCATATCTTCGCTCCTAATTGTCCATCTTTCTTTTTTTTGGAAATTCAGTAAACTTTTAAATAAATATCGAACAAAAAGTGTATACTTTTTGAGTTATTCGAAATCTAATTTTACCATCCCTCTTAACTTTTTTTCCAGTTTCTTTTCGTTGAATTATGTTTATATAAATAAATTTAAAGGGCAACGAGAAGAAGACTTTAGCGAAGTTTCATTGAAATCGGTACATTCGTTTAGACATTACATTCTATAGCAACGCCAAGTTTTTTGGTCGCCATGTTGAAAGGAGAAGGCAGATAGAAATGTCGATGAAGGAGTGTCATCCTCGGGTAACCTTGAATTTTAAAGATAAATTTGAAAAAAATTGGTAGAGTAGCGGACGGACAAAAAAAGAATCGTTTTTCGGATCATACCTATTCTGAAACGTAAAATCTCAAATTTTGAGAGGGGTTTAAGTTTTTGAATTTTTCGATCGATTACAACGGTTCATTATTGAAAATAATAAAACAAAAATGCTTGTAGTTTATATTATGTGTAAAAACTCAACATAATTACCTATTGATTATTAGAACGGTACATACTAAAAATAAATAATGTTAAAGATCCGAAAAATATTTTTGATTTCTTAGTTTGCACATCGTTAAAATAAAAATAAAATATTTTAACAGTCTAAGTAGTTATGTAAAAATGTTTATATAAAAACATTACCACAAAATATATTTATACTTGTACTTATTAAATATATTTTTTCCTACTTTATCGCAGATACGTGCACTCCTATTAATGTTATCATGTCGCTAGCTCACTCGGCCACCCCAACACCTTAATCTACCATATCCTAAAGGAAGGCTCCATGTATATGGGTATTAATTACAGAGGCATAAACTTATTGAATTAGTTTGCTTCCTAAATTAATTTATTAAATTGATAAGGTTTGTAGAAAAAGAGTACTTCCTCTCCAAAAAACTGTGTTGGAAAAACTCAGTTTGAGAAAAGAAAGATTTTCTGACCCTCAAGAAATCCACCAGAAAAAAAAATGCGGGGTAGGAAAAATCGTCGATAACAAAATCCATTTTTCTAACATTAACTCAATTTTCATACAAAATTTTTATCTTTCACTTTATACAGTTTGTTCCAATTCTTATTGGCAGTGGAATGATTCTAGACAGAAGTTCATTTGATGCATGCACTGATTTTGTGTTTTTATTAATTTTTTTACTTATTTGTTTAGAAATACTACATTCTGTCACATTTATAATAGTATTCAGAGAGCACACTCACACTCTATTTACAATAAATAAAAATAAATAATACAGAAACCATTGATAAAAAAAATGTATATAAACAAAAGAAATAACCTAATCAAAATAACAATTAAAACACACGCACACTATACAATATTTACAGAATCCATTCACTCAGAAGAACTGCGAGCCAAGCCTTTAACCCCACTCGTGAAAGGGAAGGCAGGACTCTAGGAGATCCCAGCGCCTCGCACTGAGCCGCATTACTGGTATTAAGCACCAGTGAGGAGAGGCGCTATAATCTAGTTTTTTCTCAAAGTGTTAATTCAACCTAGTAAAAGGCAGATACTTGAAGAATCTTGGTAACGTTCAAGATATCAATGAAAATTTGTATCCATAAAAAATTTAAATTATGTTTACTTGTTAAAATTGATAAAACTGATTTTTTTTTTTTTTTTTTTTTTTATTTTTTTTTTTTTTTTTTTTTATGAATAACGTCATTAATGGTTGTAGTTTAGGTCAAATCATGCTTAACTATATAGGGAAAGGCTGTATTTTTCACCACATTTATTTTCATTTTTCCTCTACATTCGCTACGTTTCGGCTATGATGACATTTTCAAGCCATTTGGTTAATATTGCTCTTTCTGTACAGTCCATAATTGGATTATCCATAACCCTACTCCATTATACTCAATATAGTCAAAATAGTATTTTTTTCCACCACAAACTAACCAGACATCGTTATTATCTGTTCAAATTTAGGTATTTCCAACATATTTTTTATTGATATGTGATTTAATAAATGATCTGTGGCCCACAAGTAAAACTGAAACGACAGACCTTAAACAAGCGACTGACAATACTGTACTCACTTTTTTCGCAATCAAAATTGAAAATCAGACAAAAATTCAATACATACAGTTACCTACTCAAACCCATATAAAAAATTTACGGTTCTGCAAAAAAGACGCACTTACAAAAACTACAGACATTTCAAACCAAAATTTTACGACTTATAACAGGAGCTCCTTGGTACGTAAACAACAAAACTTTACATAACGACTTACGACAACCAACTATCGACCAACACATACGCGATCTATACTCAAGATTTCATATTAAAGTACATGGACATCACAACGGACTTATTAACAACATGGCCACAGCTGACATACCTATCAGGAGACGACTAAAGAAGAGCTGGATGTGAGATCTCCTTACTTGAATTAATTGAATAAATTGTTATTCCTAAGTGCTGCTGGGTAATATTTCTTTATTAATGCCTACAATGCTGATTTTCTCATTAGTTTCAACACATCTGCTTATTGTCAAGCTCATGACAGGTGTGGATGGAAGTATGAACAAAAAAAATAAAAAGAGAAGAGTCTGTTACAAAAATCTGTCCATATTTTTTGTTTAAAGTGCCTTGCTACCAAAATAATGAAAAATAATATTTAAAAAAATTATTCAATTAATTTGTTTTAATTTAATATTTTTTGGTCATTTCTAAAAAATGTTTGAAAATGGATGTAACAAGTTTTGAAACTGAACGCCTCAATTAATACAATAATTTGGTTTAATGTCCGTACGTATTTTTCTAAAGCAGAATAAATTTCACAAACAGCTCTTACTTTAGATATTATTGTTATATAAGCTTGAAATAAAGATAATTATGAACCATATCAGGAAATGAAGAGGAAGATATACTGACCATACCTGGCAGAAATTTTCAAAATTCTGTTTTGCCTATTATTTTAATGACGATATTATCAACATAATTCATACTGTTTAATATTCTTTATTTTCTTAAAAGTATGCTAACGACTGCGTAAGTCGTTGCACTGACCCATAATTGTTGACATTGGGTGCCAATCAGTCCTCAATGACAGTACATATACAGGTTGATTTTGCAACACTTCATCAACTCAACATTCTAGCAATGGCATAACTACTTCTTTAATTTGGTTCGTGCTCGTTGTTAATAAGTTTATCTAAAATACTTCCATTATTTAAAAAAAAAAATTAAAACTTCCAAATCAGTATTTAGAGAAAGTATCAGAAATCATTTGATTATAATTAGGGACCTTATATAGATATACAATATATATATTTTTTCTGCTGACTTTGCAGATCTTGTAGATCTTTTGCCACCTTGACCAAACTTTTCCACCCCTGCTTATCTTGGCCTATTTGTTTCCAGTTATCTGCAGCTCAATGCCATCTTTGTCAATGTATTAGTTTTTTTTTTTTTGTTCTTCCCTTCCTTTCCTTTTAGACTACAAAAGATTTTCCCCGGGCCGGAGAATTATGCTAAGTTAAAAGTCCCACCGGATTCCGGGATTCGAACTCGTAATTATGTTTGTGTCGCTAACTTTGGTTATCAGGTTGCCGGGGAACGCTTGGGGCTGTGCACACACGTTAGCCCGCTCTTTGTGCCCCCTGATAACGATCTATTCTTTTAGTTTTCCTTCTTTCCTTTCCCCTTTATCCTAGAAAATTATTTATGTATTTATTGTAAATAATATATGAATAAACAAATACAAATATTGTCTAAAATATATATATTCTTATTTGAATACTTCCCTAATTTCCGAAAGCTGAGAACGACATCGATATATTAATATGAGGATAAACGTTTTTGAACAGCTTCAAATAAAATACCATATATTTAATCCAGTCCTATAATAATATGGATTTATCGGATTAGCAATATCGACAGATATATACAGGTATATTATTTTTTAAAAATACGTGAAACCTCGTATAATTATCTACGAGAGCTACTTAAAATATAGGTCACTGAAAATAAATTATGTTTCATTGTTCATTTTCTCTTGTCTACTATGGATACATTCATTGTGGTGTGGAAGCTTGCTTAATTCATTCCCCGTCCATCTTAACCTCTTTGGCTTTACATGTCATGAGATATTGTTTGACCACTTCTGTAAGCAGCTCTTTATTGATTAGTAATTCTCCTATACGCTTTAGTATTTTTTTACCTCCCTTCTTCCTTGCCTCACCGACTATACAGTTTCTTTCCCTGTGTAGATGGTCACCCTAGCGCTGGTATTCGAACTCGTAATCTCCGATCTATCAGGTTACCGGGTAATGCGTATTTTTTTTCACATCGGTGGTATGATAAAATAAATACGATTTCACGTCCCGGTATCGGCTGTTAACTCTGGTATTAATTCCTCGCTCTCTTCCCCGGTCCGAAAAACAACTCCATATAGCCTAAAATGCGAGGAAGGTGTTTGCACAAGCGTTAATCTGCTCGGCTAGTCCGTTTCTATGCGTTACTACTCTAGTGTGCTGTATAGTGTCCTGGTATCGCAATCGTATATCGGAACTAGCTTTATCACACCACGCCAATACTTACAAAGCACAGTTCTTTTAAATGTATTGAAATCTCGAAAAATCTTAAATTATTGGCGTACAATGCTATGATAAAGCGAACAAGGAAACTTTTTTAAATAAAAGATTTACGGCTCAAACCATCTAAAAAAACTCAAACCATCTAAGAATATTTAGATCAAGAATGAGAAGGTTAACTATAAACAACAAGTGTTCGGTAGAAAACCGAATCTTTTGGTATTGATTTTAGACGGTTTTGAAACTAAGAAATAATTTTTGACATTAAAAATTATGTAAAAAAAATTTTGTTTTATGGAAATAATGGCTTTAACCAGTTTTGAAACTACTTAATTAGTATATATTTTTTTATTAAGTCATTATTGAACCAAATCAGCCCCAAATCATCTTTAATTATGGAACAACAATTTTCGAAATATATGTTGAATACGATAAGTTTTCTCTGGCTCAGCCGAAAGTAGTTGTTGCAATTTAGAAAATCATTGATATGGGATATTCTATGTACCAATCCCAAAAATCTAAGGATTCATCAAAATTGGATAAAAGCTGTAGATGTGCTCGTAACATTTGAATTAATACAGATAAGATAACCACTACACCTATGAAGGGTCTGGGGTTCAGTACCTATTTAGGGAACGCACTGTTACTAGTGTCAACGGTTGTGCAAGGCAGGATGATTTGACGGCGCTCCACGTCCCCAACCACCAGCTTATCCCCCTTAAACAACCCCTTAATTAAGGTGTCGCATAGCCCCCCTGTTTTATAGAGGCTGGGTGTGCCCAAGACGGGATCTCTGACCTCAAGGTCGCTATCCACGGCCAATGCCACCCGCCCACCCCAAATATTTGTGCCATTGAGCGGGTACGAACACGGATTCTTTGCATTGGAAGGCTCAGTGACCCTCACCACTGAGTCCACGCTACCCTCAACAGTCCACTCGAACAAGAAAGACCATGCTCCTAAATCGCGCCACTAGTTCTTGCCCCACAACTCCCAGCCCTAACATTAATGCGCCGAGAACAGCCTGACCATACCATCCGTTGCCACCCCCGACTCGTCCCTACTCTCGCCACAAGCGACCTCCACCACCACCGCAAAAACCATCTTCTTCAACATTGCTCTTAGCTGTGTGCCCAGAGACGAATAGAATCTCACATACTCTTCTACGTTCGCTAGATACTTGACTCTGATAATCAATGTGCAACCGTTCCCAAACTGCTTACACAGCCTGTTCCATTTCGCAGAGACATGAGCCTGATACCGCATAAATTCCTGACACGGTGAGGCGTTGAGTGAGAGAATCATACTCATTGGATAGCACACTAATAAAGAGTTTCACCATATTCGGCCGCTCCCGACGGCCAACTCTATTCCTACAGCTCACTGCGCGATAGCAGTGAGATGTCGACAAGAAGAGAATAAAGAGATATGGCAGGAAATAAGCTGACGAGGCAGATATATGGCTTTCATACAGAGCCGTCAATTAGTCTAGACACGTGAGATTGATTCTCCTAGCTCGGAGAAACATATGGAAACATTGAGGATCATTTCAGTGAATTAGTTGTATTCTGCTACTAAGCAAGAAGATTAAGGATTGTAGAGGATTGGATTACGAGGAGGAAGATCGATGGCTACAGTGCTCGCCCCAAGACGACAGACGTGACACCGAAAGGATCCAAATAAGTGCCTAAAAATAATAGTCATCAAGAGTCCCTCTGCGAGAATTAATGCAAAGTGAAGAGTAATTAGCGCTAACCAAGAAGACAGAATATCGAGCGTAGAAAGTCAAAAAGCAGATGGATAAATCGAATCAATAAGGATGCAATAGAACTATGTGCAGATAAATGGAAAGAAATAGCCTAAGACAGGAAGAGATGAAGCAGGCTTGTTAAAGTGGCAAAAGATCTCTATACACTCTGCAATGTTATCAAAGAAGAGCAAACAAAGGAAAATTCAATTGCAAACATAATTTATTATGAACTTTAATAAGTCTGTTAGAAAAAGTTGTATCCTTTGAAAATGGCCTAGAGGGTTAAAATGATGTTTAAAAAAATAAAGGAATTATATAAATTTATAAGTAAAATATGCGGAACTTATTTACGAAGCTAAAAGGGATTAAAAAATTTCTTGTGTGCACTGAAAAGATTTTCCTACCGAATTTAGCCACAATTATACAACTTGAAATTTCATTCAAAATGGTGAACTGAATTAGAATTAATTAAAGTAATTTTACAGAAAATCGGTCAGACAAATGATAAGTGAACAACTTCTTTGATTAACTAAAACAATGTACATGGGCACGTAAATCATCATTAAATTCAGCTGATAAAATTTAATTCACTGTAACATTGCTAAAAATGATCCAATTTAAAGGATTTTTTTTTAGTTATGCCCTAAAATTGTTCGTTTCTGAGATAATATTTACACAGACAGAAGGACCAATGACTGAAAATATGTTTTGCCAGACTGAAAAGTTCAAATCCGTTGAAAACTGCACATAAGAAATTTGTCGCGATCGAATTGCTTTTTCTTACTTAGTAACGGTAGGGAAAAAAAATGAGTGCCTACTTTATTTTGTTTAATTTTTACTTTGTTTTGTCGTAAAAAAACAAAACAACAAGCAATTATTTTTTTTTAACAACCGAAAAAGGTTCGAAGTGAAAAATTCTTTTGGCGCGTTTTACACTTTTTTTTTGTTGAAAAATTAGTCAGATTTTTGAAGTGTAGGTAAAGTTGGTTACAGTTGACTAATTGAAATGTTTTGACATATGGAATATTTGCATTACATATTATATTACATATGGCATTTCATCTTCTCTGTAATAGGCTATAATTCAATATTGTATTTTAACGCGACGCCGTATAAGGGAAGAGAAGCGGAAAAAAATAGGGCGGAAAACAAAATTATAACGAGTTGAGTTGGATTAAAATATCTCAGAAACAAAAAATCGGGCCTGGTTACTATAAGCAAGGGATAGGTTCATCATTTCATCCTCTTTATAATAAGCTATTATTAATAATTTATATTTCATATTATTATTCTCATCTAGTTGATGTTTAAGCTTTTATCGTGTGGTCTAAAGCACATACATAAGTATTTTTTTTAATTGTTAATTTAAAGGTTCTTAAAAATATAACGCTCTAGAAACACCAAAGACTGTAACAATCGTGTTACGCGATATTTCGCTTTAACCGAGTTCTTGAAATCCAGAAATTACCGTAATTAAACTATATTATATACTTCATTATATACTTATGTATTACATATAAATATTATATTATAATGTACATACATTTATTAATCATTCAAATTAATTGTATATTTGATAATGCAGATTAATCAAGGCCTTAGCCCGGTTGAAAAGACCCCCACTTGGTGAAGGGTGGTTGAGGATCTGTATATATATCGGCTCTCTCTGAAGACAGGGCACATTCAACCATCAACATGTACAAGCTCGTGAGTGATATCAACAATTATTATATCTTATAATGTTTTAAAATAATTATTATAATATTAATAATTAATTATATTTTCAGCTGATCCTCTCCGCTCTCGTAGCTGTGGCTTTCGCCGCCTCCTACGATCAACACGATTCCCACGGATACGCTTACTCTTCCCAAAACCATGTCCACGTCGTAAAGGACTCCGTTCCAGTCGAGATCAAAGTCAAGTCAGCTCCAGTAGTCCACCATGTCCCAGTCGTCTCCCACGTTCCAGTAGTACATCATGTTCCTGTGGTACATCATGTCGAAGCTCCAGCGTACCATCATTAAATTTCCCCTCATCCCTCCAAAAAATCATCCAAAATTCCCTTCCCCTTTATCCTAGAAAATTATTTATGTATTTATTGTAAATAATCTATCAATAAATAAATTTAAATATTGTCTAAAATATAGATTTTTTATTTAAATATTTCCCTAATGTTCGAAAGCTTTGAACGACATCGATATATTAATATAATATCGTAGCCTTTTTGAACAGCTACGAATACAATAGTATCAATTTAATCCTGTCCTATAACAATATGGATTTATCGGATTACCGATATTGGCAGATATATACAGGTATATTATTTTATTTAAAAAAATACGTGGAACCTTGTATAATTACTTACGAGAGCTAATTAAAATATAGGTTACTCAAAATAAATTATGTTTCATTGTAATGTAAAATAAATCAAAATCACTATAATATCTTTAAAATAATATTTTAAACAACTTATTAATATATTCAGTATGAATTGTAAAAGAAATACAGATTAATTATGTATAACTCAATTAAGGCTTAACTAAAATACAAATTTGAAATGTGAGAATATTAAATAATAAATCGATTATTTTTTACCCTACACATCGAAAAAACGCTACAAATGATTACCGTATGGTTTATTATTTCAAAACAATTATACATTGAAAGTAAAATTAGTTTCCATAATGATGTAGAGATGGTTGACCGTTGATATAATATGAGAAGGAGTTAAACAAAGGATATAAAATTTGCTGTATAATGTATGAAAAATAACGGCATGATTTTACACCAAATTTCAACGATTACTTTTTTATATTTTAGGAAATTCGTTAACATTTAAAAAAAACATTTTTTCATCATCAAAAATTAAAAGGATATTTATGCAATTATGTTTATTACAAAAAATCTGTGATAATGTAAAAGACAGTAAATAAAAGCTTTTCAACAATTAATTTTAGTCATTTTAGTTATGAATTTACCAGGGTATGAAATATTTTGATAGGATAGAAATATTTAAGCCAAACGCAGTGGAAGATATGAGAAAATTATATTGTTTTATCTCAATGATATGAAATTATAGAGAATTGGTAGAGTAATCTGGAATATTGTCCTCTAAATATTTTGGCAAAACATCCATATTGCACATCGGTATGTAGTGTAATGTCCGGGTATTTTTCTTGTATGTTCTCTTAGGCATAGGGATAATATTTTAATTTCATTTTAAAACATAGGTTTAATATTAATATTTTTAAAAAACATGCATTTATTGTGTTATGTGTATTTATTTATGTATATTGTTGACAAGTTTAGATTTTATATTAATTTGATAATTGGAACTATTTTAAATGACTGATTTTTAATTTATGCTTAAGAGTGTTGTAATATCTGTTATGTAGTATAAAAAGGAATTTGTATTTCCATAAGGATAATAATGTTTGTTATTTTGTGATAGAATCCATTTGTATAGAGTTCTTCCCTTAAAACAAATAAAGAATGAATTGAATTCTATTCATTTTTGCTGAAAACAGGGGTGGTTTCAAATTTCAGGATAAAAAAACACACATATTTTTTTTTAAACCACTTGAGGTGAATATCGGTTCTGTTCTCGATAAACGTCCAATTAATTAACACAAACTTAAAGGTAATCAAACGAAATTTTCAGAAAGTGGGACATCTGAAGTATAATTAGATGATGATTAAAACAAAAATCACGAATAATATATGATTTTTTAAATTAAAAATAGAACTTGAGTTTAGTTTATCCGCTGACAAATCCTCTTTAAATGATTTTAAAAATGATAATCACTATCTTTATAGAGTAGTAATTCTAAACATAATTTCGAACAGAAAAGATCATTTGATGAATGGACTCCGAACGAAAAAGGAGTTAGGACCAATATTATGTTTTTCTTAAGGTTATTCTTGTTTTTTAAAGAAAAAGATGCAATATCTCAAAAACTGTTCAATGAAATTATATTCTAAGTACACCATCGTAAAATAGACAAACTTATCTTTCAGAAAACAGTGTTAAATTAAATTTAAGTAAATTAAATTTACTAACATCAATGATATCAACATAACATATCAATGATATAACATAACATCAATCAAGTTGTTGGGCTTAGTAACGAGAGAATTCCTAAAAGTTTAATATTTGCTGTGCCGAATGGTAAGCGTCCGAGGGGTAGACCGAAGCGAAGGTGGGAAGATTGCGTTAAAGATGATCTGAAGGGACTGGGTTTGGACGGCGAACGGTGGAGGGAGGTGTGTAACAAGCGATTGGTGGTGTCGGCATCGAACCTTCGGGTTCGCTAAGCCTTTTATTATTATTATTAACATCAATGATAAAAGAAACATTCAGGAGGTCTAATACTGCCGTTGTATATATGCTTCTCGTGAATGGATAATAATTATACAATACATCCACTTTATGAATCACTCAATCGTGACATGTCAAATACGTACAATACATAAATTAATAAATTAAATGACAATGCACTATTCGTGTCTAGCGTACTATGTACACATCATCCATCACTAACAGGTAGATGGATACATAAAAATAGCTGACCCGACGGATTATAGATACTTCACTCAAAGTCACAATTACATCACATTCAGAACGTCGCAATAACATTTGCTAAATTTGTTTTGTTAATAATTGACTTTAAACTGACAATTTAAAAAAAATTAATTTAATAAACTAGTCAGGCATTAATAATACATTTTTCGACGTGAGAGCCGTCCTATTTACCTTGACAATATCCAAATTCAGACAGATAAAGTTCAATATCTTGGAGTGACATTCGATAGAACAACGACATGGGGCACTCACATTAAGAACAAAACAAAAACACTAAACCAAAGACTACGACTGCTATATTCTCTCCTTTCAAGACCTTCGAAATCAAAACTTAGCCATAAAATGAATACATAGAAATAGAAATAGAAACAGAAAATCTTTATTCTGGGACTAGGTCCGTTAAGAATAACAGTATTATTCATATAAATTAACAATAAATCTGGCAAAATACCTATTACCATAAAGAATAATTAAATATGACTAATAAAATAAATATATAATAGCTATTAGGATATATTAACGAAAACAGTTGGGTAATTGGGTTGTAATACTACAATACTGGAGCTAAAACAATAACATATAAATCACTAAATTAAATTACAAAGGAACTCTAAATAAATTTTATAAGCAAAGCATTGCAGTGTTGGAATATAAAATTAAAAAAAAAAAACTGTTGATATATAAAAAAATAAATTGTAAAAAAATTATTTACATATGTTCCCTAAGATGTTTAAGCGAATACAATTAAAGATTATGAGAAGACAAAAATAAAAACACATAGGGACACACAAAGAGTGTTGAAGATAGTAGAAAACAAAATACATTTCAAAAAAATACAATCTCATGAGTTAAGTTAAGAAAAACAAATTTTATCTACTCACATACACTTACTTACTTAAATTCAATTTGACCAATGCCTCACAGATGTACGTGACAGCCAAAAATACTCACATAAGTAAACTACAAACTTTTCAATAAAAAACATTCAGGACTATCGCCAAGGCTACCTGGTACATCTGTAACATTACTCTACATAAAGACCTACAGATGAAAACAGTTAACGACCATATACGAACATATTTCAAAAGATTTCGTAATAACTTATACGAACATTCCAACTCGCTGATTTAAGGCTTGGTCACAAACAACATCCTCGATGCCACCGGTAGGAGGCTCAAAAGAAGCTGGATGAGGGATCTCCTCCACTAACTATAAACATTAAATCAAGTCAGGAAGGAACGCCGCGGGGTGCTCCTCTCCCTCATATCTGCCAATGTCTTAATACGTAGTGTTTTTCCCGACACTTGCAGGTTGTTGGTATTCCTAGCAGGCATCAGTTGAAAAATAAAGTTAAATAAAAAAATCATATCCTTGAATGTTTTTTGGTGAATTTGACATAATCATTTTCAATAGCAATAGTCGGGAAATTCCGTGGTTGTGATTTTATAATAATTTCGAATCCATCAGTAAACATTAAAACAGTTTAAAAAATAATAGGCCATATTTACTAAACTATAGTCCATAGATAGGGAACCTGCGGCCTGCGTGACATAGCAATCTCCAGACGTTTTTGCGCGATATTTATTTATCTAATGTTAGAATTAATAAATATTTTTTCATTTAATTATGAATAAAAATCGTTGCTGCCTTCATTATCCATACCTAATCTTACTGCGGCTTCTAATGATAAAATTATTCCCCACTTATCTGTCACAGTCTGTCATTGCAGAATATCCGTTTTTCCTTTATTTTATTATAACACAATTCATTCACAGATTAAAAAACGGCACAAATTACTTCACAATGGTTTATTATTTCCAAACAATTATATATCTAAAGTAACATTACTTCCTAAGTGACAAAGAAAAATAAATAAAAATTGATTCCTATTATTGGACTAAACATTTTTATTTTAATCATTAGTAATATGCTAAAAAAATTAGCATTACTTCAGTAGGCCATTCAAAAACCGAAAACCTAAACAAAGGATATAACCTTTGCAGTTTAACATATAAAACACATCTAAAGACCTTATCTTTGCTCCTAATTGTCCGATTTTAACGATTTTTTTAGAAAATTCCGTAAAATCAATCATAAAATATCTACAAAAAAAGAGTATACTTTTTGAGTTATTCGTAATATAATTTTACCATCCCTTTTTCATTGAAATCGAGACAATCGTTTAGGCGCTACAGTCTATAGCAACGCAGGTTTTTCGAAATTAGAAATTTCGATGAAGGAGGATCATCTTCGGATGACCTCCAATTTTAAAGCTGAATTTGAAAAAAATCGGTCCAGTAGTTTCAGAGAAAATGTCCTGACGGCGGACGGACAAATTTGTTTTTAATCGTTTTTCGAATCCTACGTATTCTGAAACGTAAAACCTCAAAATTTTAGAGGGTGTTA